CCTGCCCCACTGAAGTGTGGGGAGGGCTGTGAGTAGGGTGAAGGCTGGAGCCCCAGTGCTTCGCTGGGCCAGGGAGGGTGCGTGGCTCTGCTGGAGCCTTGTCCCTGTGGCTATGCTGGTGTCTGCAGGCAGTTGCCCGGGGTCAGAGGGGTCCTGCCCTGTCCCCAGGCAGCGTGGGCAGGCTGGGTGTCTGCCCACCCTGTGGCCTCCCGGCTCAGCAGCCACCAGCTGTCGTAGGCAAGGAAACCTCTTTGATCAGAGCTGGCAGTCTCAGGGAGGGGAGAGCCAGCTGGGTGGGGAGGTGCTGTGTGTTTGGAGGATACCCCAAGACCTGCTGCTGGCTGCAGCATTTGTCTCTTACCACACTGACAACATGGGGACGGGTGCCACCCAAAGGCTGCACAGCAGGAAGTTGTTATTCCACTTTGTACCTGATGTATTTCGGAGGAAAACCCTTGGCAGAGTGAAGGGGGAATGTGGGGAAGGGGGTAGCACTGGGGTTTTGCATATCCCACCTCCCCCTTACCAGCATACAGGAAACCTGGGCAGGAGCCATGCCTGTAACCTGGGGTGGGCTGGTGGGTCTGGTTTCCTTGTGTCCAGCTGCTCCCAGCCTTGAGGTCAGACCCACATTCATCTGTCAGGGCAGAGGGGACCCCCTGGCTCCTTTGGCCAGCCCATCTGGACGCTGCAGCTGCTGCCTTTACCCTCCCTGCTGCTGCCTGAGGTCTGTGCAGTGAGTACAGCAGCACAGGGAGCCGGTCCCCGCTGGAGGGACTCTCTGGTGTGGCACCACTGCCTGGTACCATGCCAAGGCGAGCACTTGGCCCAGGCTCAGAAGGTGCCTTGGCAGGACACCGGGGCAGCCTCGCTGTTTAATATTGATGGGCACTGCCTGCACGGAGGCCTGGGGGCCCCAGCCCTGCAGATCGTTTTCCTGGTTACTGGGCCGGCTCAGGTTCCTCCTTGCTCCCAGCACAGCTCTTGGGTGGGATGAGGGGCTCAGCAGGCAGCAGAATGCTGCACAGCATCACCTCGGCCTGGGGCTGCCCCTGGGCTGTTCCATCGCTGGTGCATGGCATTGTCCAAGGTGGATGCAGGCGAGGGGAAGGAGGAAGTGTTTGGACTCTTGGAGTGGGGCTGTGAAGTTGGAAAAGGTGCAGGGCAGCCTCTGCAGCTTGGTCCAGAGTTTGAGGTGAAGGGAAGTAGCATCCAGACCCTGCTTTTTGGTGGTGAGGAGAAGGGATGAGGGGAAGAGAGGTAATCCTGGCCTGGCTCCTCTGCATGCATCTTGTGTGGGTTCCCCCATATCTGAACCTGTCGGGAAGGACTGGCTCTGGGATCATCCTTGGAACTGGCCCAGCATCCTGGATGCTCATGCCTTCTCTGGTTTCCTCTGAGTCAGACTCTCCGTGTCGTCCCCCGGCCCCCTCCCCGCCGGGAAAGACGAGATGAGACCAGAGAGCATCTGAGCCCAGACACCGAGGGGCCTGTGCCCCCTGCTCCATGCAGAGAGCTGTCCCAGCGACAGTGGCCCCACGGCTTCCAGGAGTCTGGGCTCAGCTCCCCCTGCTCTGCATCCTTCTGCAGGGTGAAGGAGAGGCCCCTGCCCTGCTGTGCAGGCGGGTGTCCGGCAGAGTCGGTGCAGGGAGCTGTGCGAGTGGCATCAGCACATCCAGGAGGGGAGACCCTTCCTGAGGGACAGCCAGGTAGCAGGGTGGCCTGCCCACGCCGAGCTCCTCTTCTCACCAGGCGTGGCGTGGCAGGGATGAGGAGCCGGCAGCGGATGTTTGCGGCGGTGATGCGCCTGCTCCTCAAGTGCCTGCGGCTGGGCCGGCGGCGGCGGTTTAAGCTGGTGCGGCAGGTGGAGCAGCTGTGGCGCTACGGGCACCTCTGCCTCCGCTCCCTGTTCTATAACTCTTTCACCAATGGCGACGTGGTACTCGACTCCCTCTTCGAGCCCATCTACTGGCTGGTGGACCACGTCACCCGGTGGTTTGGTGTGGTGAGTACCATCACCGGGCAGGGGGACATCTGGGTCTGCGGGCTGGGACGAGTGTGCTGCTGGGACAACTAGGTCTCAGGGCTGCCTGTGCTCTAGGCAGGAAGGGAGTGGGGACCTCAGCCTGTGGTTCAGCTTGTTTTCCTGTGGCTGTATCCTGCCTGTGCCTCTCCCCAGGCAGTGAGGGGCAGGCGCTGCCTGATCCGGTGACACAGGCCCCTTTCCTGTAGGTGTTTGTGGCACTGGTGATTGGGCTCACGAGCTCCATCGTGGCCATTGTGTACATCTGCCTGCTGCCCCTCATCCTGCAGACCTACACGCCTGCCTGGATCTGCTGGCACCTCGCCTACGGACACTGGAACCTCATCATGATTGTCTTCCACTACTACATGGCCATCACCACCTCACCTGGACACCCACCACAGGTGAGGCACTGACTGTCAGCACAGCCTCACCCAACTGGGCACTGGGAACAGCTAAACCAGCCTGGTGGTGTCATTGCAGGAGGCATCCTCCAGATCGGGGCAGCTAGGCTGGGCAGTGCAGGGAGGGGAGGCGTGGGGGTCACAGGGGAGGCGAGGAGCATGGGGTCTGGGTGCAGGGCTTGGATGCACAAACATCTTCTGTGCACAGGCCAAGGACGATCTCACCGGCGTCTCCATCTGCAGGAAATGCATTGCCCCCAAGCCGGCTCGCACCCACCACTGCAGCATCTGCAACAGGTAGGGGCTCCCTCCCTCTGCCCCACCACAACACTGGTGGCAGCCTCTGGGACCCCTCTCCTTGCACACTGCTGTGCTGCGAGACCAAAGCCCCTTCCCCTCTGCTCTGCCGGCTTCTTGCCTCGTCTCTCGCACAGCCCGCAGGGCTGGGGGCTTTGCCTGCCCCCTCCCATACATAGTGCTTGCTCTGATACTGACACTGGCACTGCTCTCCTCCCTCCCAGGTGCGTGCTGAAGATGGACCACCACTGCCGTATCCTTCTGCAGTACTAACTCGCAGCACTCTCCTGGGGGGAGCTGCCCCTGCTTCCCCCTTGTCTCCCTGCCCTACTCCTCTTCCGAGCCAGCCAGCCACAGGGAAGGGGGCTGGGGGCCAGGCCCAGAAGAACCACCCTGGTCCCTGGGGTGGGTTTGGACCTGTGGTCTGTCACAGTTACATACCTTTAACCCCAGAGGCAGCCTGGCTAAACAACTGTGTGGGACACTACAACCATCGTTACTTCTTCTCCTTCTGCCTGTTCATGACCATGGGCTGCATCTACTGCAGCATCAGCAGCTGGGAGATGTTCCGGGACGCCTACGCGGCTATTGAGGTGAGCAGGTGGGCTCCGGCCCTCACCCTGCCGTGCACCGAGGCTGCCTGGGCTTCCCAGGCTGAGCTTGCAGGACAAAGCTGGGCCAGGCCTGGCCTCGTAGTGACTTTGCTTCCCCTCTCCCTCCTCCTGCAAGGCCCCCAGCTGCCCTGGTCCTGTGGGGGGATGGCCCCCTCCTCTGAGACACGTAACTGGTGCCCTGTTTTCCCTCCCCCTAGAGAATGAAACTGCTTGAGAAGGAGAGACTGCAGGTGGCTGCCAACCAGGTGGGACATCCCTGCCTCCCAGCCGCTCCAGGCAGTGTGGAGCAGAGCTGCCCTGCAGGCTGGGTCCTGCTCTCAAGGAGCACCCCACGGCCAGAACCAGCCCCTGTGCTCATCTCATGTATTGGAGAGCTGGGGCTGGCCGGGCAGCTCTGCTACGGGCACCGCCTCCAGTAGCTTGGGGTCTGCTTCCCTGTACGCCCAGCTTCCAGAGGCTTTGGCTGGTGGCAGCTGCTTGGCAGGTGCTGCTCAGGCCCTGCTCTCCTGGGGACGCTGCAGCAGTGCATACACATCTCGCCATAAGCATCAGCTGCGGTGTGGTGCGGTGTCCTGACTGGTCCCACGGCTGCTCCCTGCCCCCTTACCTCCAGCCCACTGCTTCTCACCTGTGTACCAGCTCTCAGGTGTCTGTCTGTCTTGTGGCTGTCTCGGCCTGCCTCCCCATTGCCCTGGCTGTTGTGTTGGTTCCAGCCACAGTCCTTTCTAGCTGTCCGAGCTCCACATCAGTGAGGGGTGCAGCAGCCCCCCTGTCTGGCTCTAAGCTATAAAGCAGCTTCAGTAATGCCGCGGCTCTCTGGTCCTTTTTCAGACGTACTACCAGACCCCGCCACCCACCTTCTCCTTCCGCCAGCGAGCTTTCCACAAGAGTGTGGTCTACCTCTGGGTCCTGTGCAGGTAAGGGGGCCCAGGGACGGGGAGCGAGGGTGCTGGGGGAAACTCACCCTCTACCTCCCTGGGGTTGGGCTGGCTTGCTCTAGCACAGATGTCCCTGCCCTGCCAGCTTTTGGGCCACAGAGGAAGAGAGATTTTGGCTTTCTGTCATGGGGGATCAGATGAGCTGACCCCGCTACGCAGCCGTGGGTCCAGAGAGACAGCCTTAGCCCCTCACATCTGTGGCACCAGTGAAGGAATGCCTGTGTGCAACCTGCTGTCCCTCCTGTCCCCAGCTCGGTTGCATTGGCACTGGGTGCCCTCACGCTGTGGCACGCTGCCCTCATCACCCGTGGGGAAACCAGCATTGAGCGGCACATCAACAAGAAGGAGAGGCAGAGACTGCAGAAGAAAGGCAAGGTGAGTGCAGCCCACAGAGCGGGAGGGCTGGCTGGGGCAGAGCCAGACATGATGTGTGTCTCCCTGGCCTGCAGGTCTTCAGGAACCCCTACAGTTACGGTGGCTGGGATAACTGGAAGGTGTTCCTGGGTGTGGATGTGCCAAGGTAAAGCCCTGGGAAGCCCCTGCCGAGGAAGATGGTGGCTCAGCAGCGCGTAGGGGTGCTGGGACACTGGGGCTCTCCCTGGGCAGCTGGGGCAGAGCCGGACTGCAAGCACCCCATGCTGTGTGCTGCTCTGGGCTTTGCAAGGCACGGAGAACCTGAGTATGAGCTGCCTTGTGGCTCCTCAGTCCTGCTCAGCGGCAAGCTCTGGTCTACCTGGTACCCCTTTGCCAAGAGAGTCCCAGCTGAGGAGCCTGGCCATCGTGGCAGCTCAGGGACATGGGCTCACAGCGCTGGCTCGGCTCTGGAGAGCTCAGACTTCAGGTTTTTGCTGCAGCTTCCCTCCTCTTCCTACAGGCACTGGCTTACCCGCGTCCTGCTGCCCTCTCCTCACCTGCCCCACGGGACAGGCCTGAGCTGGGACCTGCCTCCCTGCGTGACCAAACAGCGTGCGCCACTCCTGGCCATCTGAAGCCCCGGGTGCTGCAGATGTCTCTCCCTGCAGGCAGGGGAGCGCACAGGGGACCTGCTCCGCCATCACGGCTCCTGTTGACCCAAATGCCTGGCAGAAGGCAGGTGCTGGTACGCATCGCTGACCGGAGCCAGAGCCATGGGAAACCGTTTGGACAGTGTCAGTGCTTGGACACCTGCTCTCTTGGCTCCTTGGGGGCTGCAGGCAGTCCCGGGGGAAAGGCGGCAGAGCTGCTGCTCCCCACTCGAGCTGAAGGTGCTGCCCTCCCTAGCACAGGTACTGCCAGCAGGCAGCCCAGCTGGCTCTCCAGCAGGGCTGGGTACAGAGGATGGCACTCCCCAGGGAGCCTTTTTAAGATCATCCAATAAATAATTTTTTTTTTAAGGGAGCCTGGCTTTTTTCCCTGATGCGGAGTGTAGATTTCTGGGCACGAGAGGGACCCCCATGATTCCTGAATGTGGAAGGAGGGCCTGTAACCAGCAGCACCTTTAGCTACTCAATATATGGAAGAACACTGGCATCCCAGCCTGAGCTGCATGGAGACCCCCCGCAGCATTACCAAAACAGATATATTTATTCCTCTGGCACGTGGGTTACCACACACTGTACGTGTGTGCACAGGCCTGCCCTCTCCACCCACATGTGGTGAGTCTGTCCGTCACTGTCCCTGGCTGCTGCAGAGGCTGGGCAAGCCACGAGCGGCACAACTCCTTCCCTCCGGCGGGTGCTGGGAAGAGGGTGGGTGTGCCGGAAGGTGCCGCAGCGAGAGGTGCTGTCTGCCAGCCCCCACGCTCCAGCCCTGGCGCTCGGGGCAGATGCTCGGAGCATCGGTTGGATGGCTCGGCAGGTTAGCAAGGGCCCGGTCAGATTGTCCGTCAGCACAGGGAGGGGACGCAGGCTGCTCCCCTCCCCGGGCTCCCCAGCAGGAACCTGTGGGGACAGAAATGGTGCCATCAGGCATAGCCCCAACACACCAGCGCCCCAACAGCTCCAGCCACACACACTCACCATTCCCCCCGTGCTGCTACCGCCTCCTTCCGCACCAGCCTCTTCTTGTCATCCAAAGGCTTGGCCAGCGCCCGGATAACTCGAGCCTTGTATGGGAGCAGCTGTAGGATAGAAAGGGCTCTTAGTGAGAGAGCTGGGTGCTGGCTGTCCCCCAGGAGGAGGTTTGGGACCGCCTTGCCCCTCTGGGTGCAGGAGCAGGCAGCAGGCTGCTGCAGGAGCACTTACCACTGTTGTGGGCAGACTGGTAAGCGCGTGGGCACAGCGCAGGGCAGCAATGCGGACAGCCTGGAACAGACAGGGGTGAGGGCAATGGAAGGGGCAGAGGAGAGGGGGGTGGGGGAGGGAGAGGGGGCACACGCACCATGGTGGGGCTGGAGGTGAGGCTGAGGAACTTGGTGACCAGTGTGTCGATGTGCAGGCTCATGATCTGGGGAGCTTCTAGCAGCAGCGGCTGGAGGCAACTCAGCGTGGAGAGCTGCACCACGCGGTCTGAGCAGGACAAGGCCTCAAGCAGGAGGGAAAGCAGCTGCGGGTGGGAAGGACATAGGAGACATGATTAACTCCCAGCCATGCGCTCTACGCTGCCACAATCCCCCCCAGCCAAGGCTGGCTCTCACCGTGGGCAGCTCCGTCACCAGCACAGGCTTGGGGAGGTGGTTGAGCACATGGGACAGGCCCTTCAGGTAATTGGCCTTCACGTCTGTGGAGAGCAGAGATGGTTACAGGCAGCCGGGGGAAGGAGGGGACACCGGCTCGGGTCCCCTGGGTAAGGGGTTGACGGGGTGGTGAGGCTCGGGTGGGGGTGGCCGCTCACCGGGGCCAGCCCCGTGGAAGCCCTGCACCAGCTTGGGGACGGTGGCAGGGAAAAATCGCTGGCGGGA